GAGGGCTCCGCTAGCTGCGGAGTTGGTTGGTAAGATCAGCCGGAGATCCTTGAAGAAGGGAGCTTGGAGTCGTTTGTTGCCGCCTCATAAAGCTTGGCTTAGAGCCAACGGCCGTTTGGACCGATCCGATGAGCTTCCAGACCCCGACTAAGTGTTTGGTGCTCATCCGCTTTGGGTGGTGTTGGCAAGAGCCTTGACTTTTTCTGAGAGGTGGAGAAGAGTCCACCCACATAAATATAACTGAGCTCAGAGCCCATTTGCTCGAAGAAAAAGCGCATTGCAGCAAACATGTCAAGCCGCCGGGTGCTGTATGCTTTAGACTCCCAAGTTTCGCTAGGATGTTTGGTTAAGGGGAGGGCCTCGTCCTCCGCCTTGAATCGTGAGCTAAAGCGGCGCTTGCCTTATCCGGTCGGAGCCGATTTGACGGGACATTTTCTTTCCATCCAAGGTCAGCAGAGCAGATGGCCCGACTCTTTTGCAGCCATGGATCTTTGGATTGCCAAAGTTGAGTCTAAGCTGGCCCCAGAGCCTTTTGACTCTGCCCTCTTAGGAAAGAAGAGCGCTGTTTCTCTGGCTTCTGGTCGGGCTGTTCGTACTAAGGCATTCAGACAGACAAGAGCCAAAAAGCTCGTATCATCTCCTCGTAATGTCCCTAAGGTACAGACTTGTGCCGAGGAAAGTGCCGAAAGTGCAACGACCATCTCCGGTCTGCCGCATCGCGCTTTAGAGCTACTCAGAGCTCTGCCGAAAAGACAAGTATTTTTCCAAGAAGGTATACATGATTTTTTGGAGCCCGGAGCCCTTGACTTGTTCAGCGGAGGCTTTGGAGTCGCCAGAGCAATGATCAAGCTCGGTGCACCTTGGGTTCTGACCTTTGAGTGGAACAGATCTGCTGGCGAGGATCTGTTGTCCTCGTCAGCCCGGAATGTCATCATAGAACTCATGTCGCTAAAAGCCGTTAAGGTATGCGGAGCAGCTCCGATTTGCTCCAGCTTCTCCATTTCTGTCACACCCGCGGTCAGGTCGAGTGAGTTTCCTCTCGGCATTCCAAGCCTCAAGGGAAAAATGAAGCAAAAGGTTCTCGAAGGCAATTCGCACAACGATTTCCTCATTAAGTTGTTTAACTTGTGCGAGAAGCTTGGCGTTGGTGTTTGGATCGAAAATCCAGACACTTCATGGTGGTGGCGCCAGAAGAATTTTCGTGCCTATAGGAGCCCTGACAGTCCAGACATCTGCAGGCTGTGTTTTTGTAGGTTTGGGACACCTTGGAAAGAATCTGCGCCAACCTCCCTTTACTCAGAGGACTGCGGGTTTGGTGTAATTGTAGCGGCAATCACCAGCAGCTCAGGGGAAAATTCGACTTTGCGCAAAAAGCCTTGGAGCTTTGTTGCACAGCCGTATCCTCGTGGAGTGAGTTTTTTAAGCAGCCTCCGCTGCTTATGTTTTTTCAGGGTGGTCAGGATCTGTTAGGCTCTTGATTCCTGAAACAGCCAGAGCCGGGTGCTTCAGGATTGGGGAAGCAAAGAAACCCGGACCCAGACGTGTTCGGTCTCGCTCTGCCGTCGACATATCTCAGGCCCAGCTTTTGTCCAACAACACGTTGGCCTTGGAGTCGCGAGCCTTGGAAAAGTTTCTTTCATGGACCCGCCGGCGCATCCGATCGGTTGAGCCTGAAAATTTGTTCAGTTTGGTCCCACAATTCCTTGTGATAGCTTTGTGCTCGTTTGGAATGTGGGAGTTCGAGCACGGTGGGGCCCTTAGCAATTTTCGACATGTCGTTCTTGCCTGTCAACGATGGCAGCCTTCGTGTAGAGCACACACACAGCCGGCCTGGGACCTAGTCTCCAAGTGGGAGCTGACTGAGCCGGTAGTGCATAGGCCCCCCATCCCTGAGGGGCTTTTGAAGGCTTTATGTGTTCTAGCATGGCAGCTTGGCTGGCATAGATTTGTCGGAGTATTGCTCCTTGCCTTTTACGGAGCTGGTAGGGTTGGTGAAATCCTTAAGTGTCGTAGAACTGACCTTTTGTTTCCCCAAGATGTGCTCGATTCAGGGTATGAGTGCATTTTCCTTTCGCTCAAAAAGTTCAAAAGCTTTGGACGCCAACCAGCGAAAGCCCAGCACATGAAAATTCAGGAACCTGATGCCGTCGCAATCTTGAAAGGCATTTATTTCAGACTGCCAGCTGACACTCTGATTTACCCAGCTTCGCCATCAGCTTTTCGGCGTCGGTGGGATAGGCTTCTTCAGATTGCAGAGATTCCTGTTTCTTGCAGACGTACTCCAGGTGGTTTACGTGGAGGCGCAGCTGTTTGGTTGTACAAGAACGAAGTTGAAGTTGCCACCATTTTATGGCGGCTTAGACTGCGCTCTATTTCCACACTGGAATCTTACTTGCAAGCGCTGTCCGTCCTTGAGCCAATTCAGTTTGGTGTGAAGCTCAAGCTGAAACGCATTGGGTCTCTGATTCCATTTTTTGAAAGATGCTGCCACGGGTCTTCTTTGATAAAAGGCAGCGTGGCTACTTGGTGGACGCATTCTCGGCCGTGCCCTCGCGCCCGTCACGCTTCTGATCACAGTGGATCAGCAACTTGTTCTCTCTCCTTTGTTTCGATGAGGAATCTTCCAAGGAGGCCTTTGAAAGCTGCTTTGCTCTCTCTCCTGTGTTTCGAAGAGGTATCTTCCAATGGAAGATGAGAACTGGTGACGTGGCAGTACAACTTTAGTACGCGGAGCAATCTGTGGAGCTGGAGGTTCCACCCTACTCACGGGACATGGCAATTCCTAGTCCTGAGGTTAGCCAGTGCGCCACTACAGCGCTTTCTGCTTGGATGTTTCCTTGCTCAAAGTTTCCTAGCGCTGTTACTAGTCTGGTGTAGCGAATGACAAATCGCCCGTATCCTTGTGCAAAGGTATAAGTGGGCTCTTCTACAGTGTCCTCATCCTCAGTTGCTGCTTCTGCTTCTACTTCCAGCGGTTCGGCTGCTCCTACTGGCACCGGCTGCGCATATCTGGGCGACAGCTCCTTCGCTCCAGTAGCGTCTGAGTCTCTGTCCGACTCCTCCGACGGGGGGTCAGCTGGGGGGTGTCTAGCATCCGCAAAGTCCCTCCACGGCGGGACTTCTATACGCAGCTTCAGTTGTAGGAGGGATGGGAACGACATGGATTGCCCCAGAGATGGGTCGAGGGCGCCCACAAGAGTGTCCTACAAGAGTGTCCCGCAAGAGTGTCCTACAAGAGTGTCCCACAAGAGTTTTCTACACGAGTGTCCCACAAGAGTGTCCTACAAGAGTGTTGTGTAAGAGTGTCCCATGTCCTACAAGAGTGTCCTACAAGAGTGTCCCACAAGAGTGTCCTACAAGAGTGTCCCACAAGAGTTTTCTACAGGAGTGTCCCACAAGAGTGCCCTACAAGAGTGTTGTGTAGGAGTGTCCCATGTCCTACAAGAGTGTCCTACAAGAGTGTCCCACTAGAGTGTCCTACAAGAGTGTCCCACAAGAGTTTTCTACGCGAGTGTCCCACAAGAGTGTCCTACAAGAGTGTTGTGTAAGAGTGTCCCATGTCCTACAATAGTGTCTCACAAGAGTGTCCCACAAGAGTTTCCTACAAGAGTGTCCCACAAGAGTGTCCTACAAGAGTGTTATTTGGACATATGTAGTTTTTCGAACGTGTTTGCATTCGGGTTCGTGGGTTCCATCTTGCCTTTTTCCAATACGTCATACCATAAAGTGCAAACAGAGGGTAATATCATTGAACGATGAAATAAACGCATACTTTAAACCAGAGTGCTATTATTAAAGCGAAAAGGGACAGACGTTAATGTAGAGGGTTTTCTTATTCAAGATTCTAGTGGAATAGTTTATTTTTGTAGTTTGATAAGATATATACTCCCGAAAAGTAACATGGACACGGATCGACTGTGACCCTGAAAGACTATGTTTCTCTACATTAGTTTTTCACAAGGTAATAAGGGAATTACAAGAGCTTGATTGAAGAACTTAAAACAATCAAGAGGAAAGGATTTCAATAGGTAATCGATAGAAACAAAAAGGACATTTGACGAGGCAATTCGCAAATAAAGCTGGAGAAAAATGAAACACGTAGACGTCATTGCAGGAGATATTATTTTTGAAGCCACACAGGGCAGACACTATTGTAGGGAGTTAAGTTATATTATTCAAGATTTCTAGTGTACGGGGCTAACCCAAACTGATTAATTGAATTTAAAGGCAAATCAAGAGGAATCAAACGGAATTTAAATGGAAATCAATTGGATTCAACACGAATGTAAACGGAAATCATTAGAATTCAAAGGGAATGGTGCTAAAAACCTGCTATTTGTAAGAATGTTTAAACAAACACACACACATATATATATATACACAGTATATTATATTTGAATGTGCTAAAAACATACTATTTTTAAAAAAGACACTTTTTGCCACAAACTAAAATCACAAGCACAAAAAGTCAAAAACCAAAAAAACAAAGTTTTTTGTGTTTTTTTCTTTTTGACGTTTTGTTTCAGGATATATATATTCAAGTTTTTGTGTAGTTTTTCTCAATATCAAGTTTGCAAAAATATAATATCATGTTTTATTCTTTGTTTCTTCGGTTTTTGTTTTTGTGTTTTTTGCTTTACCATGCTAAAAATAGGAGGTCTTTTAATACATTTTGATATGTATGTTATTAAACATCCACAAAAACAGCCGGTTTTTGGCATTCCTTTAAAAAAACGCATTGGTAGTTGTCACCCAATGAGGACCACTGATTTCTGATAGGGTCAAAACATAGCTTTTGTATGGGCAGGCCCACAGAAAGCAGCTTTAGCTAGATCATGGGGGTGTCCACATATATATATATATACATACATGCTGCATGAACAATCCGTGCAAAGCGACCCTTCTTCGATTCTTCTTTCTCGAATTGCAAAGCTTGCTGGACAAAACCTTTGAAGCCGTTGGTTGCTGTTGCTACATTGTCTGTCCTTTGCAATTCCAAGGAGCTCAAGCAGGTCCTTGCCGAGTCCAGAGCTGCATTGAATACATTTTGTCAAGTCACAATGGGAGCTCCCGCTTCGGCAGAGAGTCTTGAACGGCCGCAACTTGGAAGTGACAACCGATCGCAGCAAGATGAAGCAACAGGTCTTTCAAGATGTTTCTTGTTCTGTCGCGCAGCTTGTCAATGCTTTGTTGCATGTCTGTTTTAAGGCAAGGTGAGCTGATGGCAGAGGCAAGCAGGCTGCTCGCTGCAGTTTTGGCTCTCTCAGGAGGGCCCAGCTCTTTCCATGTCAATCTTCAGTGAATTGAAAAACATGCTTCATGATGGTGGGTTTCACTTGGTCTTGGTTGTCAGGAGAAGGAACAATTTCCGAGACGTCACTTTGGCGAGCTCCTCGAGTATTTGTGGTGATACCCTATTGGAGATGTCAGCCAGAGGACTCAAACGGCATGCGTAGCCGGAGTGCAAATCGAAACTCCTGCTCATGGAGGTGTTGTTTCAGATGTTGTTTGTACCAGGAGCTTCTAGCTAAATGGTGTCTGGCTCAGATGCAGGATCAAAACTTGCGACACTTGAGCTTGTCCCGTTTCGCAGAGATACAGTAGTATTTTGAGACCACGAAGCTCTTCGAGTCTTCGGGTCTTGATCTAGGTATCAAGATCCTCAACTACTGGAGCTCTTTGCTTCGTCCTCTGTTCGAATCGCCTATGACTGCGCAAAGAAGCGCTTCCGTGCTCAATTCCTTTGCGCCTTGAGTCGAGCTGCAGAAGCGGAGGCGAGGCGCAATGACAGCTGCGTGCGGGGCAGTTGGCAGAAGGCTGGGCAGGGGGAGCAATTTGGATCCAATGGACCGGGGTGATATCTGTTGGGGGTGTGGTGCTTTGGGAACGGACTGTCGCGTGAGTGCACCCCATGAACAGGACGACTAAGGGCTTTTTTGAGTTTCATGAATAGTTTCAAATACGCTGGACTCTTCTTTTGGGACCTTGTTGCTTCCGTGGTGGGTATGTCGGAAGGTGGGTGGTATTTTCGAAGGAGATTTATGGCCCTGCGGGACGCCACAAACTTTAGGAGGGTAGGGATGGGATGCCGAACACTTCTTTATATGTTTCTATTAGACATCTTTCTATTCAAACTGCTTACCGCGCTCTGAAAGGTTTTGACCAATTTCCCGGAGCTGAGCCTTTGGAAGGCCTTGCAGGAGCCGCTCTGAGGCTTTTGGTGGGCCTCGGATATGTTTGTAAGTCGGTCCTAAGGCTGTAGAGGTTTTGTAAAACCGTGGAAACAATATACTGTAGTTCAAATGGAAAAGGACATATTTATGTGTGACCAGTTTCAATCATGGCCAGAACTCATACTGATTAGATAAACAGATCCTATCTAGAGTTTGCTGCCCTCCTCTTGTTGTTCATGTAAAAGCTTCCAGGACAAGATTCGCTCTCGCGTGTGGGCTTCAGGTGTGGCTTGCGACCCTGAAGTAGACCATCTACTTCGTGAAGAAAGTCAAGATCCACACCTTAGCGTCACGAAATAAGAACACAGGGCACTGCTCCCGTCTTGGCCACTATGCTGCCCCACTTCTAACATCCGATTGAGTATGTGTTTAACAGTTGAATGACTCGACTCACCTATATAATCATTTAATGGTGCGATTTTTTGCGCATATTTTTCAGGCGCGGCAGCAGCAGGCAAGCGCAGCCGCGCGAGCAAGTGGGATGATAAGTCCGCAGCCTCCTCCACTACTGATTGGGGCAAGAAGTGGCGCGCTGTTGTCAAGGCGGTATTGCCCAAAGATGGTGCTGGCGGTGCCACCTGCATGGATCATGATGTACAGAAGCTTTGCTTGGCAATGTGGAGAGATCTGACCTCATGGGCTGAAGAAGATTGCCGCCAGCATCTGATGTTGTTTCAGGCAGACCAGCAAGGACTCGAACTTCAGTTTTCTTTGCCTCTTTCATCCTCTTTCCAACTAAAGTACTTTGGCTTTTAGTCATTTTTAGGCCTAAAGTCAAGGAAACTGTGCCACGCCACTGCGCCCAAACGTGACGCATCTTCACCTTTTTGCCGTAGACTCCAGGAGACTTGGAGGAGACCTCGTGGGCCTTCGTGCCTGCGACCGACGTGTTGCTTGTGGTGGGTGAAGGCTTGGTTGGCTGCGCGACTGAAGGTTACGTGGTGCAGGCAGATGAAGGACATGTGAGGCACGTGGAGAGCATGGGGAGAGATAGGAATGCATTTCTTGTGGATGAATCCTAAGTGAATAGCTGTTTGTTACGTTCGTGCTTGGCTGCTTGAATGCTTCGCAAGCAGTCATTTTGCACTGTCCTTTTGCAGAAGGACCTCTTTTGTAGACGCCTTGAAGAACTGGCGTGCAAACTTGCGGAAGAGCCGGAGTGGTGGCGAGGACACGTCAGACTCTGCATTGAAGCTTTGGCAAGCAAAGCGAGCTCAAATTGAAAAGGAGATGAAAGAGTCTGAGAAGGAAGAGCCTGATGAAGTAATACCTGGAAAGGTGAAGAAGCCAAAGATTGAGACTGAGGAGCATGAGGCGACCAAGCTAAACCGTTCGCCAACCAAGGTGCTGCTTTTGACCAACTTTGCAACTGCCTCAGAAGGCGAGGAGGAGATCCAAGAGAACGCAGAGAAGCTAGTGGAGAGCTTTGGGAAAGTCCAGCAGTGCAAGATTCTGAAAGTGCCCGACGTGCCGGACGAAGATGCAGTGCGCGTGTTTCTCCTTTTTGAATCAGTGCAGGTGTCCTCGAAGGCGTATGCAGCTCTGAGGGGGCAGGCAAGACCATGGCTTTGTGTCAAGTATAATCTCCTTGCGTTGTATGTTTTAATATACTTCAAGTCACTTTGTTTGTTAAAACAAGTTGAGGTGCTTGATGGCCGGGCCCTGCGTGCACGCTTCTACGATGAGCACCGCTTCAATGAAGGCGATCTACAGAAACTGAGCTCCAAAGGTAAAACGTAAAACGCATGAGGTGCATGTGCTTAAATGCGTCAATCAAGCGAGAGGGAGTCTCTATTTTTACCATGGCCATAGCGTATTGTTTTTTTGGATCCTTGTGCGATTGAAGACCAAGGAAGTCAGTACCCAGCCGGGTGGTCCTGCTCAGCGGGCTGGCGAGCTTAGAGGAGCTGGACGGAGGTTTGAAGGACGTCAAAACCTTTGGACCGTTGAGTTGCTTTATATAAGCAACATAGTCAAAGCAGGATTCCTTTGTTGATTCTTGAGAAAGCGTGGCATCCAAGTAAGACCTGCGTGACAATTTTCCCCAAGCAGCTTTGCTGTGAGGGGTTCTCAATTCTTGCATAGAAACGATCCTGGCCCAAGTAATTGTGCTTTGCCCTCCCTTGTCTCCCTTTAGCTTCCATGGCCTCCCTTGTCTCCCATGGCCTCCCTTTGTCTCCCTTTCTCCCTCATGGCTCTTCTGGATGCTGGGCTGAGATGATTCTGCAAGCCTCTGTGCTCGAGACGGCTCTGAAGCCGGCCCCCCATGAGCAGGGACACGTCGATGGTGTGGTGCTGCCGTCCCGTGATGCTTTTGCTGCTGACGTGGACTACCGCATCACGAAGCCGGCTCATCATCCTGGTCCCAAGTCCGGGCGTGATCCTTTTGCACTTGGCCTCTCGTGAGAGTTTTTGGTCCACGAGAGGTGAGTGTTCTGCCAGAGCTAGGGCTGGCAGGGGAGAAGACCGTAGCTCGATGTTTTATTTCCAGGGCATTCTTGAAAGGGAGCCTAGCAAAGGGCATGCATAGGGGTCGGGGCCAAGAAGTCAGGTTCTGCAAAGCCCAACGCCGATTGGCTCGTTTTGCGCACACCACCTAGAGGGTAGGGCGATGATCCACCACCGAACCTTCCTCCTCGTGGATGTTCTGGCAGGGTGATGACGCTGTCCTGAGCAGGGCTCTGGCAGGAGACGATGAATTGGGTCTCCGTCATGGGTTTCAGATAGTTTTGCTGCAGGGCACCCACTACCATCCCTGTGGCCTTTATGCCATGCACTCAGCCCCCACCTCTAAGCAGGACTTAGGAGGCCTAATAGTGTTGGACAGCATGCTCTGTGACCAGCGCGCATTTCCTGTGCCGAAGTCATTCCAGGTCGTGTTTTGCGCGTTCGAATCCAGTTGCGGCACCACGCCATAGATGTTTTGAATTTTGAGCATGCCATGCCTCGGAGCTGCGTGCGCCGACTCTTGACCTTTTCGTGGAATGCAGGTCTCAGCAGCCCCCTCTGGATAGAACCGATGAATTGGCTTGATGTTCAAAACCTTCAGGTCACCTTGTTGCAGTGCACCAGATGGAAGGAATCAATGGCAGACATCCAGATCCCATGCCATACACTCATCCCCCCTTCTGGCTCTGACCATGAGGTCTCATGGTACTTCGGTCCAGGACATTTCCTGCACGTCTGGCTGGACTTCAAGCATTGCGCTTGATTTGTTCATGTGTACGAGCCCATCATGGAATCTCGAGCCACCTTATGGTCTTGCGTTGACCTTTGTGTCCAAGCTTCGCCTTTTTGTTTTACCATAGTCATGAGGAGACTTTAACACTCCGCTCCTGTCGGATGGGAGATGCCTGGTTGGTACGCACTGATCAAGTCCTACACTGTCAGCGGGGCCCTTCCCATAGCCTGCTTCTGGAGATGAACTGTTGGTGGCGATTTGGGTCTTTTCTACGTGGTTGACTCGATGATGGTGAGGGTGCTTGGAGCACATTGTGTGGTATGTGGCATTCCCATGCGTGGCAATTTGTCAAGTTCGACGCCACATGACAGCTGCTCAGTTGCTCATCAGGAGTTGGCCCAACCTGCTGAGATGGTGTCTCGCCACGGCACTGTGCCCTGCTGTTGTGTCAAGCGCCCATGAATGTAAAGCCATGTACTTGATCGGCTATCATGACAGGGTTCTGCATGGCGCGTGAGCAACTTGTTTGACCTTGCGGCTGCCCCTTCCTCCCGGCTGCACGGAGAGATGAGGCAGCTGACGGTGGCGAGTGGCTGATGGCGGAGGAGGCGCCTGCTTCTGTGCTGCCACGTGCGGCCTGTTTAGTTCGCGCCTGATCGAGCTGTCTCTTTTGAACTGGCTTGCCGAAAGGCTAAAGCCCGCAAACAGAGACCCTCTCAAAATAAGACAAAGGGATGATTCTGTTTGCCATGGTTGCTCTGGATGTTGGGCTGAGATGACTCTGCTTTGTCCGCCCTTTGTGTGCCATGGCTCTTCTGGATGATGTTTCTGCTTTGGTTCCCACGCACCTGTCTCTTTTCTTGTCTCCCCACCTGCAAGCTGTGATAACATGATTTCCCTTTGTCTCCCCGCTTGTCTCCTTCTTCTCCCTTCTTATCTCGGCGCAGACAACAAGCTATCGCCACGGCTTTCCCCTTTGTTTTCCCACATGTCTCTCTTCCTGTCTTTATTGGTGTGCTGTCATGACAAGGCGATTTCCCCTTTGGCTCCCCACTCTGACATGCGCGGGAAGACATACGGTATATATACTGTATATATATATAATATATCAATTTTTCGATACATATGACGCATGCCGTTCTGACATGCGCCCTCAGCATCTGTCAACGTACACAGCTTTTGGAACTGCAACGTCCTGTTTGTGCTTGTGCTTGCCATGATGTTGACCTCAAACCACCTGAGCAAAGGCTGTTTGGGGTCGATCCCGGTGTAATTTTGTGGGGTTTCAGCAAGAGTGGTAATTTTTCCGACACGGGTGAGGACGAAGTCAGCAGCCTTGTTGAGAAGATCTCTCAGAACCGCCCGCTGAAGTGCAGTATCCAGACACGCAAAGACTTGTCGGGAGATGAAGCAGTGCGGGTTTTCCTTGAGTTCGAAGCTTGGCCAACCAAGTGGAGAGCCCATAAATCGTACTTTTTAGGAACGCCCCCAGCAATCTCTGTTCTTGGATACCCAATGTTTCAGCACTGTTCCACTGTTCACTAGTTTGCTCAAAGCAAATGTGACATGGACAAAGCCTTCGCGATTCACTTTCGCTGAGGAAACCGTAAATGACTCTGTGGAGGCTGTGAGCCAGTTGCATGGGCAAGAGTTTGGCCTACGACGTATTCGAGCCCGCTATTCCACTGAGGCAAAGCTATTGGAGCTCCAAGCGAAGTGAAAAGAACAAAGACAGAGTGAAATGATGCACAAAGATGAAATGAGAACGTCAGACCAAGTGGCACTTTGTGGGCTTGCAAGGACAACAAAAACAGCACCTCGACACTGAGATGATGCCCGGGGTGGTGCAATGCTTCAGTCTTTCTTGAAGATGAAATCAAGCTCACCGATGCGAGAAGGCTGAAGCTAGCGGCAACTGCGCCAATTATGACTTGAAGATGTAGCGGCCGAAAGAAAACTTTGGTTTGTTGGCGGCTCCACATCTTGTGAGTGAAGATTCTTTCGGACAAGTGGGGTTCACCTTTTTGTTTTCCCGAGCGGCTGCAACAACTTCTTCTCAAAAAACACGGTCCACTTCACTACTCTTTTTCAGCAGTGTCATCTTCAATATGCTTGATTTGTAGGCCTATTCACTTACTGTAACCTTCGTTTTTGTGCATATAGTATTATATTATATATACATGTATAGATGTAGTGTAGGTATCATCTGAGTTTCTCCTTTTCAGATCTTCGTTGAACTTCTCTTTTTTGGCGGTGCCGCGGTCCGACAGCACGAACCGCAACGCTCTCAATGTTTTGTCCATGTCGAAAGTGTAAAACCCAGGCAAAACACAACATTGAGTTTCCTTGGGCAACCCTTTCGGTCTTTCGTGGGTGAAGCGCTGTTGTTGGTGATAGTGTGTGGTGCAGTTCTATGGGGAGAACCAGGAGAGCTCTCCTTCAGGGTTGCGGACGGGTGGCGGAGCGTGGCTGGTAGGTTTCTAGCGAAAGGTACGTGCATACCTGCCGGAAGCCTTAATACCGAAAGGTACGTGGTGCAGTGGTGATGTGAGACTTTTCTGATGAAGTGGCACGCTTCCACCGGTGAAATGGTGCGTTGCGGTTCCGCAAGGGTGAAGTGACCATGTTTCAACGGATTTCCACAGCTTTGGTTGAAAGACCACACTCCAAATGTTGTCTGCGAAGAAGTCGGGCTGTTGTGGATGCCAATTCACGGGCCATGGCCTAGCCATCTCCTCTGAAAACTGTGGTCTGGGAAAAGCACATCCAAGAGAAGCATGATGCGACAGAGTCGAAGAATGTAGGTGAAAGTATGATATCGCTCTGTTTTTTGGAAGCGTTGCCAGAGCAGGTTACAGATGACTTTGAATTGATCGATGGCCTGTCCTGTCCGTTTTGATGAGCTTTGTGCCTGTGTCATTTTCGTAAGAAGATCAAGTTTTATCACCTCTTCTGCCAGACCTTGGCACTTTGCCATGTGAGTTGGTAAGCCACTTGTTCGATGAGTTTGATTGATCGGCTGGCCGGAATCATGCCGCGTTGTCCAACTCGGATGCTCCACAAAGGGTTCAGGTCAAAATACTGTATGTTCCACGAAGGTACACGCGGGATCTTAGAGTCTTAGAGTCTTTGATCCACTTTTTTGAACTTTTCAAGTGCAGTTATTTGGACCATGGATTTGAACCCACCAAATTGCGTGTAAATCGCGGGAGTACGACCGAAGCCAAGTCGGCATGAAGCCGGACCGCGGCTTGCCTCTCCTTGACTTGAGGCAGGTTGGGCAGGACCTTCAGCAGACTTTAAGCTGGATGTGACAACCAACATGTTATGGCAAAGGCAATATTGATTCAACCTTAATCTTGAGTCAATCCCCTTTGCTTAGAGTTAAGACTCGTCTGAGCAGATTGATGTTTGTCCAATAGCAGAGTACTTTCCAGTCTTCAGCCAACTATGGAGGGTACCAATGCCTCAATTGACGACGAAAAACAAACAACACTATATAGTCAGCAGACGACGAATGGCCCGGGAGATTTGAAACACATTGTTCAGTATGTTTCTATTTTGTATCAACGCGCGTGGATCCTTCTTGTCGCAATGTGTACACCAAGCCTCATGGACACCGCCAATCATCGCACATGACGAAATTACGTCTGTGATGTCCCTGTGTCATGCAGTTTTCGGCAGCCTCGGTGGAAAATGTGTTCACGTGGCTCTGTGCCATTGGGAAACGAAAGGCGTGCGTGTGAAGCAACAATATAGCACCAAGCCTTGTGGACACCGCCAATCATACTGGTCCCCAACGAAAAAGTTGCACAGCTCCCAGAAGCTGCTTTCCGTGTACATGTGCACTCCAAGTTACCAGTTCTGAGGCCACAGTTCCTAGAAGCTGCTTCCTGCGCTACATTTGCGCTAACAAAGTTGCCAGTTCTGAGGCCACAGCTCCCAGAAGCTGCTGCCTGTAGTACATTTGAACTATATATAAAGTTCCCATTTCGAAGGCAGTTAAAACTTTGGCAACGTCCACCTTTGTTTTCGACGACAGTTGCACACTTTGAGCCTCCAATTTCGAGCGTGCGTTTACACGTTTTGGCAACCTCCACCACCACCTTCGTTTCGACGACAGTGACCCGCTTTGGCAGCCTCGACCTTCGTTCACTTATTACGCACTTTAGCAACTTCCAGCTTGCGCCATTTCTGATGACAGATACACACTTCGGCAACTCAACACGCGCGATCTCCGCAATTACGTTTGTAGCGTGGTTGGAAACCTTTTTGAGCCTCCATTAGTGGATGTTGTTTGACGAACCTTGGTAGTCATTCCTTGCCCATGCTGTGGTTGAGCGGTTAGGTTAGATCAAATCATTGAGGAATAAGTGTAAAGCTTGTCGAAACACCTGGCTGTGCCTATCGTGTGGGAAACAGGTTTTTCTCCTAGAGTAGTTGTGATTCAGTCCGCCTGAAGGGGCAAAGAATACACAAAGCAATGCCCAAGTCCATGCATCGTTGGTGTCGGAGTGCGAGGACAGGATTTAAACCGCTTTCGTCCTTGCTTGGCAAGTCATTGGTGCTGGATCTTAGTGCCTGAAAACATTCTCACTAGGAGACGGAGGTTTCACCAAAGTGTGAATCTAGTCTCCCTTGCGACCTTTGACAGCAGCTCCACCAATGGTGCCTATTATCACGGGCATGCCGTGGCTGACATATGTTCTGCTGGCTATAGTTCTGGTCATGCTGGTTGGTGGCCTCCTTGCACTCCACAGTTCTATGAGGACGGCCGCCTTAGAAGACGCACCACGTATCTCTGCGCATGCTTGCACCTTCACTTCTTTCCTGCTCACGCTGTGCATGGTGACTGTCGCGAGTTTCTTGGCAAACAACTCCAGCAATTGGTTTCCATCTCCCTCGCAGCCAGCGAGGCAGCCATGTGGTTTGGCCATACCTGACTATCGAGATGACACAGATGACGCAGCACTAAATGCCACCGCTCAGTACTTCGACACCTGGCAAAAGCGCTGGATTTGGGTTGATCTCTCCATGGTCCAGCTGCCGGAAGTGGAGAAGAAACAATGGGAGTACACGCAGTCATGCGTAAACATTTTCACCTACGATATTGTCACGACCACCTGGGCCCGGAAATGTTCGGAGTGGTGCCAGAAACATTTTGGCAACTTTGTTTGGAATGAGGCTTGCGCTTTCGGACTAGTGACCAATGAGAATCCAAAGCCAATGAATGTCTTGAGAGCCTGTCAAAAGGCATCATTTTGCACGAATCACTTCACTTTGTCTTCGGACAGCGTCACGAAGATTTGCATTCTCATAGCTTTGCTAGCGTTTTGCTCCGGCTTCGCTGCTTATCGACTCAATGAGAACCAGTCAACCCCCAAATTTAGCTCTGCTGCAGAGCCGGGTAAATTGAAATTGGCTCCTTTTGTTGAAATTCCGGGAGTCTCCCGCAAGACAGAAATCATTTTCGACGTCTTGAAGATGACAAGTGAGATGATGTTGGATGTCTTCTCAGATTTTGCGGCCGGACTGATGTATTTCTCCCATGGGCAGATCTTTTTGGGTTTTTATATGTTCATGGTCCTGGCATCAGCTCATTCGATGGATCTCTTGGGAACCAAGGGCTTTGCCCAACTTTGTTGGTCACTGGAACATGCAGTCCCCAACGCAGCTCTCATACGCAGAAAGTCAGTTGAAGTCGCAGAAAGCAGCGCAGGACTCATCTGCATCGCTTTGTTCTTCTTGCGCGTGCCAGCGCATGATCAGAATGATCAGCCGCTACTCTCCCAGATGGATTTGGTAGTGTATAGCATCACGCTAATCACTTCCCTGACAGGCATTTATTCTGGTGCTGAAGCCTCAATCCAGGGGCATCTACTAAGCCTGAATCCAGACATGGAGCTGGACATGGACAAACGGTATGAGAAGTTCAAGGAGAAGTCTGTACCCATAACCATGTTTGCTTTGGGAGCCCTCTGCTCGCGTGTCTCTGTGTCTCTTACGATTGCTTTGGTCATTGAAGCATCTTCGGCTCCATTTGCCACAGCCATGCATATTGGGAATGCGGGTTGCCTTGTATCTCTTGCGGTTGCTTGTGCAATCACCCTCATGACGGTGGTGCTGATGAGATACTTCCGGCCAGATTTACGTCTGTCACTGAATGATATAGTGGTGGTCCTGTCAAACAACTTTGGTTTTGTCTCCTTGGCCTTTGCAAGTTGCTTCGCAGCAGGATTTTTGAAGGAGATGCGAGATGAAGGAGATTGGGACAATTTGCCATGGCATGATGTGGATACATCTGACAAAGTTTGGAATAAATCTTGAAGGACATGAGGCTGGACACCCGGAACATGCGGGACTTGTTCTGGCAAAGCATCTTATTTCTTGGTCTCTGATTTGGGTGGCAGAAGGATGTTCACGAGTAGCACCTCTTGCTGCGGTTGTTCAGGTTGTGGTTTGGTGAAAGAAAGTATGGTGGCCGCAGACAGCGATGAAAAGACGTTGGGCTCACAAAGTTATGAGTTACTTCACGGGACTGGGCTTAAGCCATGAGGATCGCCCCCAAGGAAAATGGTTTGGCCAGACCAGCTTTGTTCCTGGCTTGTCAATGACGTGAACCGGTAAAACGTTATGACATTCAGATGCCGCTGAAGTTTCACGCAGGGTACTACACCAGCCTAGCCAGTGTGACATCTGCGACAAAAAAGAAGCGTTTGGAATGACTCGCTGCTGGCTGGTTGATGTTCTTCGTATCCAAAAGGTGCAGGCGCACGATGAAGGGACTCCAAGAAGTTCCAGCGGTGTTAACAGAAACCAATTTCCTGATGTAGCTATACTTAGCCACGGTAGATTGATAAACAGATCGTGCGGAGAAACGACTCACGACTCCAGCCTTCCACGGTGATTGATGCAATGGTTTCGGCTCGCAGCGTAGGTCACCTCACGATCCAGTCACTTGCGGCCTCAGGTGCTGCATTGCATCTAGGAAGGTCCACCTTCTATATAGTTGGTTTTTTCGGGGGACCTCCTCCAGCAGCGGAGCCTGGGGCCGTGGTTGTCTCAGCGGTAGGTAGTCTTCCCCAGGTTTGTCGACGACCAAGACCGACGGGAAAATTTATTCGCATATTGCCCTTGCAATTTGACTACATTCCAGAGCTCCCTACACAGCTTTGGTTTCCAAGCGACCGAAGACCACAGACTCTAGATGTTGTTTGTGACTATGTTCGGGCTGTTGTGGATACCAATGAAAATATGTTCCACGAAGGTACACGCGGTATCTTAGAGTCTTAGAGCCACTTTTTTGAACTTTTCAAGTGCAGTTATTTGAACCATGGATTTGAACCCACCAAATTGCGTGTAAATCGCTGGCGTACGACAGAAGCCATGTCGCCATGAAGCCGGACCACGGCTTGCCTCTCCTTGAGGCAGGTTGGGCAGGACCTTCGGCAGACTTTAAGCTGGAAGTGACAACCAACATGTTACTGTATGTCAAAGGCAATATTGATTTAGAACTTGCTTGGAGCCTGTGGAAAGCAGGTTGTGCTTCTTTAATACATTTCATTAGACAAAATGCCTTGCCATTTTGGCTCAAGATTGAACTCAGAGAAAAACCCCGCTTCGGTCTTACACCCTAGGACAAGTGGTGGGGCTGGCACTGTCGTGTCCGCGGATGATACGGAGTCCGCCTCGCCGCCTTTACCACGGCATGTTCGGGCGCTGCACTCTGCCTGTGGAGGAGAGCTCTGCGCGCATGGAGGTGGAGCCGATGACCAGCGCCAGCCACTGCACCGCTGCTGGAGCCCCCCACCCGTCAGCGCAAGCGTGAAGACATGGAGTCGGCCAAGCTGTCACCTTCAAAAATATATCGGCGGAGGCAGGCGCCCTGACCTAGTTACTGATACAACCCCAAACCTGGGCCAGATAAGAGCACGATACAGAAGCAGCCACATGAGGGACCAAGAGGCTGGAACGGTAGGGCTGAGATTCATGACCTCTCTCAGAAACAGCCCTTACTACCAGATTCACCTCAAGATCTGCGGCCCTCGCGTCACATCCTTATAGTCCAAGAAGACGAGGGCAGTAGGTCGGTCCTCATGATACAGCCGCAAACCCAGATTCTCAGATAAGACGTGGGCAGCAATTAAGAATGAAGAGGCAAGTCGATGGCTGTCTCCAAGTTCACCGTCTTCTTCCACCTGATGGGCCTGGTCGGTTCCTGTCGGGTTCAACAATCACTCGATGGGCGCCTCCGAAGAGCGGGTTCTAGCGATAAGACCCTTGACAAAGCAAAGCAAGGCAGACCTCCATCTTGGAGCAGTTATCAAGTGAATCTTGCAAGCCGCTGCTTGAGATATAGAAATAGTCGATGCAGGTATGGAAAGACAGGGTGAAGCACAGAGATCTATATAGATGCAGAGAGGTGAAGAAAAACCTTTAAGCTGCATTTTTGGGTTGGTGCGCTTTTGCACCTTGTCTGAAGGCTGTCTCGGGGCAATAAAGGGTGCAAGGAGGAAACTTTGTGGGTGGCACCCTTGCTGAACTCCATTCCGGGGCCCGAGCCTCATGTTTGTTTGAAGGCGCTGGGGAGAAAAAGGCAAATCCGAAAACGTCCGAAAAGTAGGTTTCAGCAACAAGACCCTGGACCAAGCATGACACGGCAAATGCATTTCAGAACGTTTTAATGCATCTTGCGCACGGAGTGGGTATGACAGGGGGGTATCACGCGACGTGCCAGTATTCTCTTGCTTCCCGTGTGCGATCCCTGCCTGGCTCAAACTGCAATCTTTCAAACTGTCAGATCGCTGCTAGAAGCTGCTTGAGTCGACAAAACGCGTTGCCCTAAGCGTTTGCGAGGGCTGGCTTTCGTCCTCTCACTCCTCAGGTTGTTTGATTGATGAACCTTGCTAGTCACGTCTTTGCTGGGTTTGGATCACATCATCGAAAAGTTGGAGTGAAAACGGGTACTGCAAGTGTAGGGCATGTGTTCTTTTGCTCACCAAGGGGGTTGCTTCAAACACCTGACTGTGTCTATGGTGAGGGAACATGCCTTTCTTGTAGAGTACTTGCGTTTTTCATTTTGATGCCATGTCTTATTTCATTCTGTCAAACAAGTTTCTCTTGGATGGTGCATGATATCTACGCACACTTGACATGGCAGGTCCATGCCTGATGGTGAGGCTCGGGCGCAGAAGGCATCTAGGTCACATGCACTTCGCGCGAGAGACTCCGTTTCGCTGACTGCCGAGGCAAGCGGCAGTGAACCAACTGTCTACGCAGACAAAGGCTTGGGCTGAGACTTGTGGTACTGGTAGAATTGCTGGAATTGCAGTCTGCCTTGCAATGGACAAACAAAACAGTTTTGACTTCTCGCCTGTCACCCTCGTCCCAATCACAAGACATGTGGGATTGCAGAAGAAACGCTTGGCAGTTTAAAACGCTTCCCGCATGTGCTGTTGCCTTCGTGGTTGTCCATTATTTCGGCTGGGCTTCAGGATATATGGATGATTACGATGTTTGCGGACAGACTGGTGTCATCCTCAGGGCAACCTGAATCACCCTAAATATGAAGCAACCGTTTGGCTTCAACCAGAACAGAACAGGTTGGACAACGTTGCCACAGTTGTCTGGCCGCAGCGTGCATAGCTCAGAAAAGAAGGGCCAAAGCCGCAGGCTGGTCAACTGACTTCTGCGCCCCCTCCGCCACCTGTCTCGCCTCGTTGTTTCCTCTTAGGTTAGTCCAAGGCTGGGAAGCCATTCAAAGTGCAATTTTGTATGCACTGCTTTCCTTTTCCAAGAGAAGCTGGAGAAGCTCAAAGCAGACTTTCCATTGTGCGCAGGCCCACCCGCCCTGCTCGATCAGTGTTGACCTAAGTGAGAAATCGGGTTGAGAGGCATTGAAAGGCATTGTTGAGGAGGCGGCTCATTTTGAAGCAGGATCTCTCAAAGCTGGACCACATTATCCAGCAAGCAAAGGAGGTTCAGGACCCTTTACAACCCATCCAGATTTGGAGATCAGCCCACTGCCTGCTGCTAGGACCAACTACTGTCAAGTGTGAGGGTGACAGACACCGTCTCAGTGCTCTGTTGGGTTTGCATCCCTGCTCTGCTCTTTGCATCCCTGCTTAGCTTTGCATGCAAGTGACAAATTCTGAGGCACCACAGGTCCCAAGCAGCGCATCTCTTGGGCTTAGTGCAGGAAAGAGAACATTAGTTTCACTGCTGCTCATACAGCAAAAATTCCACTGAGCAGAGCCTTAGATCCTTGATGCAAAGGTGTTGCTGAACCTATCACGATGGCTGCAGCGACTGCTGGAAACCCAAGATCCCGAACCTACAGTGACCTTCACATTTCGCATGTTTTTCTCTTTTTCATTCTGCAACAGCGAAGCTCAGGGGTCTTCAGCCATAGTAAAGACCTCGGAGCAGATTGGAGCAGATCGGAGCAGGTCTCGGTGCACGTTTCCATAAAGAGCAGGCTCCGGAGAAGGTTCCCAAGCAAACTCCAGCTTCCGGATTTCCAGAACACGTTCCAGAGCAGCACGTTCCGGAAGAAATTCCGGGCACATGCCGGAGCACATTCTGGAGCAGGTGGCGGATGACGTTCCGGAACAGGTTCGGGAACAAGTTCCGCCGAAGCAAGTTTTGGAGGGTTTTCGCAAGATCCTGGGCTCTTTGCAGACATACGACGGCGTATAGATGCTGACATGTCCACGCGCCGTCAGGCTAGCTTGCGCCTTTTGCTAGGCTGCTATAATGTTATTTCTCTGACGGGCCTTTATAAGGTGTTGCCACGCCGATAAGCTGACACGGTGGATATAATGCAGAATGCGGACATGTATCATCGTGAATGTACGTATTTTGCAGATATGCGGCGTGCTGTCACGCAGGCAAGTTGTCAGGCTGTCAAGCTGACATAATATGCGGCAATGGGTCACACTAACATGCTAACAGGTTGTCCTGCTGAGATGCGAACATCGGGTCATGCTCTCGTGCTAACTTGCTGGCGGCTCAAGGCTGGCTCAGGAAGAGGTTTCATGGTTTTGGTTTGTTGCAGTCGTGGCATGCTTTGCACATATGGGGATGCACCACTTGTTAATAAACTTGCAGGGGTCGCGCATTTATTGACAAGTGCCAAATGTTGCCTTTGCTGCTATGCTCAATCATCAAGTTCATGCCCAGCTGTATTTGGATGTTTGTTCTTTAATTTTCGCAACCTTCACATCTGCTGGGATGTCTTTTGACCTTGGCAAACCTAGAGCAACACTGTTGCAGCAATGCTCAGGTGCCTCCCAGTGTGCCGGGCAATGCGCCGGGTGGTCCATGGGCCTTCTCAACCCCCGTGAGGTGATGAGTACACAAGAGATGCAAGAGGCTCAAGTATTCTCGCCCTTGAGGCGCTCTCGAGAGGGGAAAACACCTCGAAGCAAGCTTGTCGGGATCTTAGGCAAACCCAAATGCCGTATTTTGGTCTTTCGGAACAGGATGCTCATTTATTTGCAGAGTTTGGGTCTGCTTTCCAAGGAGGAGTCATCGAGAGTCAGGCTAGTTGGTCCGTGCTTAAGGGAGTGGAAGAAGCTGACAAAACCTGGCGTCATCAGGATTTCACCCATGACAAGCACGTACTTGTAGAGGGCATATCCCGAAACGTAGCTAGCTACTTGGATGTGGTTCAGAACAAAATATGTAATGTTATGCAATGTCGGAGTATTCCCCAAGGGGTGTGGTGCATGATCTTGACAACCCAAGAGCAAGAAATTAATCACTACTCTGCACATTTGTGCGCCAAGTTACTGGAATCCATTGGGTGTAGGTTGCTGTTTTACCTGATAGATCAAGCAAGACTGGAGCAAAACATCATGGTCGTCACACTGACATTCCACCTTTTTGAGCCTGGAAAGAAGACTATGACTATGACGAACTTGAAAGAACTCTCCAAAGTCTCAATCTAAACTCGTCGCTTGCCGAGGCGTGCCGCCGACGAGCTGCTCGAGTCGGTCCGACGGAGGGCATTAGAGGCATCTTGAAAGATGACGTTAAGAGAAGCTGAAACTCTAAGGATTCCGAACATGAATGCACGAGCTGACACTTCAAGTTGCAAACTAGCCTCTCCTTCTTTTGTGAATTGACATGCCTTCTATGTGCTTTTGCATTTTTGTGGAGCCGTTTGGTGAGTTTGTCCTTCCAAGATTAGTTTTGGCCTTTGTTGACATTCGGCTCGAATCTATGTGGTGGCTGAAGCGGGGACCATTTGGTGCATCAAGAAGCTGCTCTGCACCGGTCCAATCACGCGATTCTACTATCAGCCTGAATCCCAGTGCTGTTTGAAGCAGAGGGTAACAAGTGCATCGCTACTAGTAACAAGAAGATCTCAGCTTTCATTTCCTGAGGTCAGGTCAGGTCTCTATGGCATGCGGCATCATCATGGATGATAGGATGCCAGTGTGTGCCAAGTTTGTCACACTGATGTTCGTTTTGGCTTTAGATAGCTTGTGCAACATACGGCTTTGGACTTAATCAACGTGCCAGACCTGAAGTAGTTGTCAGAGATCCTCACAAATTGCCAACTGCTGCAGTACAGCGAGCAAACTGAAGGACCCTTGCGATGGTCCAAGGCCTTTTTGCCGGACACCAAACACGTCCAGAAATCCAAAGCCTTGCAAACTTGAAGAAGCGCTTGAAAGGCTTGCTAAAGAGCATGTTTTTTTTTGCGACTTTCTCTAAGGCCATGGCCTTTGGGGCCAGCTTGTTGACTCTTTTGAGCGAGGCGCAAGTCTTTCCCAGGCACAGCGGGTGCTTGTTATTGCATAGGTGCTTCTAATAGCAATGGCCTCCAACCTAATAGTTATGGCCTCCAACCTAAATGCTTCTTATGCTTTCTTGCTTTTGTAAACTTTAGACACAGTGTTGAAGAGCGCTGGTCATAAAGTGTATTTCAGGCGCTGTTTTTGCCAGAGCGGTCCTGGTGCTTACGGACTTTGTGAGGTCAGCTTCTTAAAATCACACTTGCTAGGCTGAGCTGTTTGTATTTGGTCCGAAGAACAGTTCTTGAGAGGCATGGCAGGATTGCCGCACTGTGATCAGCTTCCTGATGGGTGCACTTGTTTGCCACTGTGCACGTACTACTACAGGCAATGAGATGACACAATGCAGTGCAGTTCAAGTTGAGATTTGTGCAGGCGACGAGGAGCGAGGGAAAGGTCTTCACATCTCTCTCTTTTGGTGACCAACCATAGTCTGCAGCATAGCTGCAGAGAGGCCAGGTCACAGCCGAGGACAAAACCGCCTTGGCACTTGAGACCAAGAGACCCTCTTGGAGCCCAGACAAAGCCTGGGCAGATTTTGTTTTGGTGAGCAATCTACATCTGGTGAGCAAGTTTTCAAGTTCAGCCCAAGGCTGGACACACTTGGCCTCCAGCTCACTAGCTTACGAGATTCAAATCTTAGCTGGTCCTCTGTAGGAGAGGCCTGACCGACCGTCTGTCAAAACAGTGGAATTCGGTATGCATGCTGTTCAGTCCTTGTCTCTTCTGAATGGGCACATACATGCGAATGTCCTTGTAGCACGTTCTGGCAAAGTTGGTGCGAACTGAAATCCCGAAGATCTACTATTTGGTGTGGATCTGCTTCTGAAAAGTGCCCATAGTTATCGTCCTTTCTCTTGATGGCCGAAGTGCCGGAGAGGAAAACCGACTGCACACATGAAAAAAGTGGTGTTGGTGTCATGCTAGTGGTTAGCATATTGCTCATGCAGCGGCTTTGCAGGTTTCTGCAAACTCTTTGTCAAACAGCCAGGCTGAAATCGAAAGACTCCGGGGTGAGCTTGCAGCAGCAGAGGCGAGCAAGCAAAAACTCCAGGTGCGCAGACTGAGCACGATGATTGAAGAGCTATTCCTTACACACTCGTGACTTATGACTCCCAAAGCACTTGGAGAACTTGCAATTTAGGCCGGCGAATCTGCGGAAGCAGAGGCAGGGGCAGAGGCAGGGCTGCCACCAGCAAAAGTAAAGCGTTGTTGCTTAAGCTGTAGATTCAGAGAAGGAACAACCACTCTCAAGGAAAAATGCTACTAGTAACAAGTGCCTCGCTGGTAGTAACAAGTGCCTTACTACTAGAAACAAAAAAGCTATTAGAAACAAGTGCCTTACTACTAGGAGCAAGAAGCTACTAGGGGCTCCTGGCCTTACTAGTAGTAACAAGAAGCTACTACTAGGAGCAAAGCTAAACATCGCTTACAGTAAACTTGTTTGCCAAGGCTACGCGATTACTTCGAGAAGCTCGAGTCGAGGTGAACCGTCTGAAAGCAGCGCTGCAGAGACAAGGTCACTTCGACCGGATCAAAGAGGCCCGCAGTGGGTGAAGCCAGGCGTCACAGTGCAAAACAAGCAGTGCGAAGCAAATCACTTTATAACATATATATATATATACATACTGTAATTTCTACAAATATGTTCTTTCAGAGCAATATTGCATCGCACTGCCAATTACCAATGAGCCAGCTAGGGCGTGACCCACAGCTGAGGTACTGACCTGTTCAATTCAGCAATAGCAACATGAGACAACAGGTTTTTCATGCCCAGCATTTAGCCAATCCACAAGTGCGGGACAATCAAGTTAAATCCCAAGGGAGGCACAATTCCAAGGTCTTAAACGCAGGAAGGTGTCAGATCGTCGTGATGTGAATGAATACATCAGGCTGAGTCTCATCGAAAAGCATTCGAGCAGGACTTTCAATTAAGGCTAAACGATGAGCAGCTTCATTCCAGAACGACAAATTGCATCAGCTTCTTCTGTGTCACACTTCCTTTCTGACACACTTAGTCACGTGTACCTTTCTTGTTGAACGCGCATTTGTTGTCACGCTTGATTTCCGCAGGAGCTGCGGACTGCTCGGGAGGATGCAGCACGCAAGCATGAGGAATTGCAGCACTTGAATCAGGTTGATATGCCCTTGCTGTGGTCGCAGCTTAGCCGCGTCCATCCAGATTGGACACATACATCTCGACTTTCGGCACAGGTGCAGCAAGAACAGCTTGTGAAGGAAAGAGATGCGGAGAGAAGGCAAGGTGGACAAGAGATGTTTCCATTGCACTTTGTTCTACATTTCCCAACGGACATTGAGTAAAACGCAAGAACGGGAATGTATGGCAGGTTAAGGCTGGAGGCTGAGACAAGGCACAATTCAGGGGCCCTGCGGCCCTGCGCGTGAAACTCTGAGCCTCACTGAGCATGTTTCCGCAGGCGAGAGGCCATTTTGCTGAAACTGCGCGAGATGGAGGCCTGGCATCCGCAGGTTGACTGGGTCCTTGCAGACTTAAGTGTGGAGAAGCTTTCAGGAGGCTGAGCGGTTGCGCCAGAATGCAGCCACCCTCTCAGCTCAAACTTCGATGCTCAATGGTGAATAAAACACATCGAGAATCTGTTGATAGACACAGAGACAACGGACATCGGTGGACTGATGAGGAAGGTCTGCTGAACGAGCTCAGAGAGGCGTCGAAAAGAAGTGAGTTCGGTGTGTTTTTTCTTTTTATGAACACTGACTGTGAGTAGGGTGTCAAAATTTAGACAGTAGGTTTCGGAGGTCTGACTGCTCGAGGCGAACCTTATGGCGAAATGCTTTCTTGTTCCAAAGATCACAGAAACGGGGCTCTTCACTATGTCACTGGGAGGAGATCCGTCAGTTGCAGGGCGTGCTGCATGTGGAGCAGCATCCTGTCCACCATTGAAATGTGCTGATGCGTCTTGCGAAAGCGCGAGGAATTGCAACAGAGCAGACACTTGTAGACTTTGATTAGCACATTTTCATGCTATTTTTGCTCTTGAGAAACCCATGGCTCGTCCTTTTGCCAGGTTGGCACGGCAAGCCGCTGAGCAGCGGCAGAGTGCTGTGGAGGTGTGGTTCAAGAAAGGACCGAGCAGTTTATCACGAGTTTGGACTGACAGGGACTCCACCAACGGAGCCAACAAGAGAATGCGCAGCTGCGGAAAAGCGTCAGGACCCCAAGAGTGCAAAGATAATGCGTTGACGCAACCTATTTTATGAGCTTTTGACATTCGGAGAAGCGAACAGTATCAGCAACATTCTTCCAAGTAGGTTGAAAAAAGGACAGATTCCCAGTATTCTTTAGTTTTGTTCATACATTTACGCTCTTAATTAGTGAGGTAACGGCTCTTGCGCAGCAGGCCATGAGACTAGCGGAGGGAGAGCGCCAAATGCTCTAATCTGCTGTTGAGCATGGTGTTAGCAACGGTTTACATCTACTAGCAAGAAGCTACTAGTAGCAAGGGCATCGCTACTAGTAACAAAGGGCATCGCTACTAGGAGCAAGGACGCTACTAGTAGCTCCTGGCATCTCTACTAGGAACAATTTTCAATTCGGTCTAGGTGCACAGTCTCAACAGCCCAACTACGATTGACTCCCAAAGTCTGCGAAAGCCATGAGCACCTTGCAACAAAGGTCCTTCTCCTGTGTTTTTGTGCAATCTTCCGGTGGCTTGTCACCGACCCGGTGGCAAGCCAGCTCTGTTTTAATCCTGTAAGTAAGCCAAAGAAGAACATGCGGCATGCAAGCTGAACCTTTTGTTTTTGCAGAGGAAGTGTACCATTTACAATGTACAATGTGTGGGTCCTGCGGACAGAGTAGTGATCAGGAGAAGCAAAAGTTTGAGGAGCTCCTAGACACGGAGAGGTATCTACATATTTGAGCTTTCCGACTTCAGCTGTGAAAGCACATGAAGAGAGTCAAGACACCTTTGTCGATGCAACCTTGCCACAATGTACAGCAACATACTAAGCCGCTCGAGCCTATTTCTCAGAAGCCAGAGACTTCTGACGAACAGATGTCCGGAGGTCGCTCAGACAAAGCGCTGAGGAGCAATGTAGAAAGTTGCAGGCTGGGTGAGGTTGCAAGTTATTCTGGATGCGACTCGTTCATCAATCAGAGAATTTGTCCATGAAGGGAGCCCGCAGACCAGTGCAAACTTTAAATTTTGTCCCTCGTCCTCCTTTGGCTCTCAAGCATGAATACTATGAGGGGTACTAGAACCTTGCACGTTTTTCGATTTTACTTCCATGTGAGCAAATCCATTGCGAGGCTGACCTGAGCAGATGTCTCAAGGAGCTTGAAACAAATGTTCAGGATGGGCCTGCAAACAATAACTGCTGCAAGAAGGTGCTTGTTTGAAGTTGAAACTGTCCATGGCTTGCAGCTGAATTTCTTTCACAGCAAGACAGGCCTAAGGAGATTTATGTTCTTCGCATAGCCAATCCGCGCAACCACCTATATACATAGCCAAATGTGTCGTTTTGGTATGCTTTGTCACTCTCCGTGTCTTCCCGAGGACAAGAAGGTGGAACTTGAGGCACGTCAAGCAGCGGAGCTGAGGCGTGAACCCAGAGCAGGAAATCAACATCGAATGACGAAGCAGTAGTAGATGGTGCAGACAGATAATGCAATATATAGAATAGTGTATTACATTCTAACCTTGTCACTCTTCCGATACGCGATAAGGACCGCCAACAATTTTGAGGGGCACCATATCCTCAATACACTCTGGTTGTATTTGGGTCACATTTTCAGCATACTCCCCATTTTGCAGAGGACTTGGAGTTGGATGTCGGGCATGTGATATGTTTACACTGGTAATATGGTCAAGAAACATGACTTCCGCCTGGGTGGTGCACACTCTGTACCCGCCAATTTCAGCTTAACTCATGATGAAGAAAGTGCTACCTCAGCTCCTATTGTGCGTACACTCTCACATCTGGGTCAGGATTGTTTCGTGCGGGTGTTGTGCTTGAGGATTTGGAGTTGGACATCTGATCATGCCGACATGGATCATGCGTTTGACGTGTTCACCTTTCAAAGGAGCAGTCTTGTGCGCATGCGCAAGAAGTGCAACTTTGTCCACACAGTGTGTACATAGTCTTTGGTGCCTAGACAACTTGTAAGATCATCTATTCAATCTATTCTTTACTAGCTAAGTGTGTGATTTGAAGTTCCTTTAAGGGGAAACCTTGAAAAGAGATTTCTGTAACGGGTTAAATTTCAATAACGAAGAAATGCGCGCCTCGCAAGTGATATAGATGTCCAGCTGGACCACTTCAGAATGACCTGTGTACGCGTCCGTCCGTCCTGTGTTTTTGTCTATGGGCATCAAAGAATCATCAGGACATGACCGCAGTTGATCCGGACCTTGAATGGTCGTAAACCTTTTGGCCGAAGGCGCCTAAACCATATGCATCGCTCTGTGTGGAAAATTTTGGAAGCGCGTCTTGCGGCTGACGAGCTCTTTCAGCGGCACCAGAGCCTTTGGTTCGTTCTAGCGCTTGTTGCGCGACTCCGGCTTGCTCAGGCCTTGGCGGGCCGCTCTTTGCTTTGGCCACGCGGCAGCGCTTTGGTGTTGGTGCAAGTGCACTTCGCCCCTGAAGGCTTTGAGGTTCACATCACTGCGTTCTTGGCCGGAGTTCTGACAGTCTTCCTTGGTGTTTGGTGGGCCCTTCTTTCGCAAGCGCTTGAAGGACATCGGACACCGAGGAGGTTGATTTTAACTTTTGCTTCTTCTGATAAAGAAAAGGTGACTTTGCAGAGCCCTTTGAGCACTTTGCATAGCTGATGAGAAGGACACCGAAGGAGCATGGTCGAGAGTCCCGACACTGGGTGGGAGCCCACAGACCTGGCGGTCGTTTGGAAGAGAGATGTGTTGGTGGTTGGCCCGACTTGACGTCCAATCCACCAAGAAATGCAACCTCGCAGCTTGTTGGCTTCTCATACAGTGGGCTTCCTTGCCAACACCCAAAGATCTTGAGACTAAGTTCACTTGGACCTCCTCAAGGTCTAAGATGCCTGTGAGAGGAAGTATGTGGTTGCCTCTTGCACGGGCTTTGCAACAAGATTCTAAGCCACCAAGATCCTGAAGGAGAAGAGCGTTAGTGAAGTGATCCGGCTCATGCAGACCGAGTTTTTGTTTGCGATCAGGGCCGGGAGTTCATTTCATGGGAGATGGAGGAGTGGCTCTTGGGTGTCTTCCATGCTACACCACATAGCAGTCCAGGCTCTCTGTAGCAAGTACTTCAGGCGGTCCCATGGATCGTGACGGATCTTGGGTAGACTTCTTGTTGCCGTCAGTAGAATCGTAGATCTATGATGATCTATGTGGCTATGTCTTTCCATCTTCTATGCTGCAGTCTCTCCGCCTGTTCTTCTGCAAGTCCCTGACTTGATGCCTCTCTCCCTCTTCAACCTCCTGATCGGGTGCGTTCTCAAAGTCTTGTTCAAACGCGGTGTAGCCGCGTAGCCCTTGTACTTTGCTGCACACTCATGTACTTCTGTAATCTTCTGATGTGACAGGATTGAGTTTTGTGCGCTCCACTCTCAAGCTTTTTAGGGTTGGATGGATTCAGTCCTGAGCCTGTTGCGTATCTCGCATCTGGCCCTTTCCTCCAACTTCTTTGGACTTGGCTGTCCCTTCTACTGCGGGGCTCCTCTCTTCGGCACTCTCCTTGCATTCTTCCTCCTGGGCCTCATCTCCGGCGTCCTTTTGGCTCTTGCTGGACTTTTCCTCTTGTTCCCTGGATTTCGGCCCTACTTGGGCTTTGCTCCTCAGGTTCCGCCTCGAGCAGATCCTGCTGCATCCCGGCTCTCCAGGTACTTGCATGAGTGTGTCCGCTGAGGAAGAAAGCATCGTTGAGTTGGACATCCAGTTCTCTGGCCTCAGCATCTCAGTCCGGGGCGCCCCGGATACAGCTGCACGCTTTGTGCAGCAGATCTCCTCCCAGGACGGCGCCTCTTCGGCCTACGGCCCATCGGCTTCGCCTACTCCCGTGGATCTGCATCCTACTGGGCGTCCTAGGCCTACTCCGTCTTCGGCTCCAGGACGTGCTGCAGGCACTACATCGTCCTACCCTACCAGGGCATCCGTGGAAGCATCCTTCCCACCTTGTCCAGCATCGTGGATCGGGGCGGCTTCGGCAAGATTGTCCGGATCAAAGTCAACCCCTACTGCTCGAGCTCAACGAGCCTGGAAGGCAGGACAGTGGGCCAGGGCAGTGCAAGAGGGAAGGGCTCAGTCCCCCAATCGTACTGAGACCATCGACCTCCCCAACCGGATCTGGTGTGTCGTGCGAGGACCTGACTTCCCTGGGCCAAAGGTATATCACACCTCAAGGGACTTCTTCCAAGCTGTGGGCGATCTATCCCGAAGCAATACCTTGTGTCACGCCTGGCCCTCCGAGACGGAAGCCCGCATCTACTTTGAGGGAGCCGGTCAGGAGTTCCCGAGCTCTTCATAGAAGTCATGGCCGCCTGTGGCAGGTCAGAGTTGCAAGAAGAATTCATCGTGTATGTCCTGGAGCTCCCAGCTGGAGATGCCCCAGAGGAGGGGGTGTGTCAGGCTTTGGCTCTGGTTGTTTTGAAGAGACGCGGAGGCTTGCTTCTTTGTGTTCCTCAAGGCTACTTTCCGGAAGAGACCTTGGCCCTGGGACTCACCGCCTCTGCTGAAGATCAGATCAGTCAGTCGCTAGGCGCTACCATTGCAGCTGGTACCTTGGAGGTCCTGACAAGTGGAGATCCGCCAGCTGCAGAGGAGGGCGCTACAGTCGATGTCCTCCTAGTCGATGTCACTGGAGATATGTGGGACCATTTGATTCCTTTCTCCCCTTCCGCCCACTCCTTCGACGTGATCCACACTTTCAACGAGGATCGCCCAAATCTGTTCCCTATGGTGGACGAGGTGACTTTGGCAGTATGGAACTGGATCAGCGACCCGGGGTCCGGAGAGAGAGTTGCCTTCTACTCTGCACAAGAAGAGCCGGATCCAGACAGCAGCGGAGCTCCCGTGATCAGAAGGAGAGCAAAGGCAAAAGCAGCTTCTGGTACCGCAGACGGAGAGCCGCAGCCAAAGATGGAGCCAAAGAAGTCAAAGCCGACGGTAGCCAGCTTGTCAGCGACCATGGAGGGCATCTCGGCCACCATCCCACAGATTATGGCGGAATTGAAGGCACTCCGAGAGAGGACAGATGCTTTCGAGGACAAGCCTCCTGCATTGCCAAGCCGACCGTCAGCATTGAGGCAGCCACTTGGAGACTCCGTTATTCTTGGATCTGCCACTACACCTCGGAGGCTAGCGTCCTTTGTTCAAGAGATGCCGCCCCCGAGAAGTTCGTTGCTCAGGACTCCTACGAAATCCCCATCGGTGCCTTTGCCTATTTCGAAGGAGACCTCATTTGCCCTTGCCGCCGAGCTGGAAGACCCTAACTAGGGCAATACTAGCACAGAGCCAAGCCCTGTCAGCCCTGGTATGTCAGATGACCACGGGGGATGTCACCTTCGAGACGAGCTCGGGTATTTCCCTGTCTATGAAAGGAGCTCAGGGGAGGGCGAGGTTGCAACAGGAGCTCTCCCTTCACAGAGGCACCTTTTTCAATGCTGTCTTCACAGCAATGGCCCGAAGAATGCAACCTGCCCAGCCGGCAGATATGAGCCCAGCGGAACTGGGACAGAGGGGGGTCCGTGCATCTCTCTATGTCGAGCGCTTCGGTGGTTATGGAAAGACGCGAGATCTTGGTCAGATAATGTGGCAAGTGGCCCTCATCCTGGACCATCTCCAACAGGAGAATGTCGGTGCTGCAAAGGATGCAATCGCCCTTCTTGCAGTCTGTCTCGAACAGTCAGCCCTGGATGCGGGGAAGATGGACATTGGCCTTCTCCTATCTCTGCAGGAGGATCCACCTGCAGGGGTCTTTACCAACAGGAGTCTGGCAAGCTATGCTCACGGTCGAGCGTTCACGCCCCTGGCAGATCAAAGATGGATCACTACCGCGCTCAGTTTTATCAAAGAGCTGGACATCATCACCACCAAGCGGGCAGACGCAACTTCTCAAAAGGCCACAAAGGAAGAAAGCAGCAACTCCGCCAACCCGAAGAAAGCACCGAAGAAGCAGCCTCGGGGAACATGGAGAAGGCAGGGTCAGCAGGCACAGGAGGTCGAAGAGCAGTGAAGTCTTGCCATGCTCCTGACGGCCATGCACCTGATGTTGACTACACGGACCCTGCTGCATTGCTCCGAGCTTCTTCTTCAGTTCCAAAGGTGCTAGCAGCCCTTCCGAGATGGATTTTGGCTACACGCACCTCCTTTTCGAAGTTTCTTGCACGTACTTTTCACCTCCAATGCCGGGGAGTTGTCCCGGATACCGTGGTGTTCCCTCTTCCCTTTGCGGACTATGGTATCTTCCATTCAGGAGGAGAGATCTCAGCAGGAGGCGCTACCTCTGCCTACTGAGAAAGAGGCTTTTGCATGTGGTCATCGTCGCTCTCAACTACATCCATGGTGGAGTGGCGCTCATTGACGTCTCATTGCTGAGCAGGAGCCCAAATCGTGCACAGAG